CTCTACGGCATCCAAGGTGACCGAGGCTCTGACACTGTCGGGTCAATGGTTCCTGGAGCCCCTCACGCCTGCCACCTGCCCACCTGGTTCCACGGTCCCCGCTGTCTCCTGCTTCTCACAGGGACCTGGTAGAAGCCACTTCCTCCCCATTTCTCCCCTCCCGTGTCCCCCTGCCCCCCAACTGTCCACACTGCACTTTCTCATCTTCCAAAGCCAACTTCACTCACTTGGCCCCCAACAGCCCCAGAGTCTGGAGGGACTCGCTCACGCCTGCCCTCCAGCCTGAACGGCTGAGTCCTCCAGTCTGTCCACCTGTCGGACATTCGCTGAGACTCAGCCCAGGGGTCCCCATTTCTCCCCTCCTGTGTCCCCCTGCCCCCCAACTGTCCACACTGCACTTTCTCATCTTCCAAAGCCAACTTCACCCACTCGGCCCCGACAGCCCCAGAGCCTGGAGGGACTCGCTCACGCCTGCCCTCCAGCCTGAGCGGCTCTGTCCTCCAGTCTGTCCGCCTGTAGGACATTCGCTGAGACTCAGCACAGGGTGCCCCTCCCCCCGGGGCCCTGTGCACACAGCTATCCTCCTGGGAAGGTCACACTCCGCCCTACTGCAGGGGAGGGTGGGCCCGTGGTCGCATCACTGCAGCCGGGACCAGCTCTGCTCGCCCGCTGTGAAGGCGCAGTGTGTGGAGAGAACGCTGTGAGCCAGAAGGCAGCTCCCGAGAAGCAACAGTGCCCGGGGCTTAAGGAAGGAGCGCTGAGCTGGTTCTGGAAGATGGAGGGAGCAGCATGTGAGGCTGGGGGCCCAGGGGAGGGAAGGATGCACTTGGCGGTAAATGTTGGAAGAAAGGCCAGGACCTGGAGCTGCGGGCCGTCCTGCCAGACAGAGGTGCTATGGAGGACGGGGGACCATGGGCCTATGTTGGGGCAGTGGGGAGCCATGGAGGGTTCAGGAGAGAGGTGGAGACCTCCTTCCTGAAGGTTAACCTGGTGACAGCCGTGTGCTGGGTGGAGTGAGCGAGATGGAGATGGGACCACTTAGGAGGTTCTTCCGAAGGTGAAGGTGAGAGGAGCTAACACAGGCTCCTCTGGTGCCCGGCGAGTGGAGGGCCACTCGGAGGAGGTCTCCATGGGGACTAGCAGGCTGGCTGTGGTGGCGCAGGAAGGGGAAGCCGGGAGGTTCTGTGGGTGTGCTGCTGGGGGAGCAGGAGGCGGGAGGGCAAGTGAGAGGTGGGGGGGAGAGTGTTGGGCGTGTTGGTGTTAAGGTGGAGGGGGACTTCAGGTGGGGTGTCCGGCGGGCAGTTACAGTTCACGTGCATGCACAGCGTGTGCATGTGTGTGTGAGCGTGTGGGCGAGTGTGTGAGCGTGTGGGCAAGTGTGTGAGTGTGTGGGCGAGTGTGTGAGTGTGCGTGCACAGCGTGTGCATGTGTGTGTGAGCATGTGGGCAAGTGTGTGAGCGTGTGGGCGAGTGTGTGAGTGTGTGGGCGAGTGTGTGAGCGAGTGTGTGAGCATGCGTGCACGGCGTGTGCATGTGTGTGCACGGCTGTGCACTCCCGTGTTTCTCACTGTCTGTCGTGTTGCCCCGGGTGCGGTGATGGTCACTCACCTTGGTCACTGTTTCAAACATGGGGATCAGGACGAACTTGATGAACCCAATCTGGGCCGTAGCTTTGGTCACTTTGTCCCGGTCCATGAAAGGGGCCACGGGAAGGCCTTCCGACTTCTCGCGGTCGCTCTGGGGAGTGCAGCAGACGCGACGTTAAAGAAACACGCAGGGAACTTGGGGGGCTCTGGGGATCACTGTTCTTCGAGGAGGAGAAATATGAGCTAATATGCCGCAGCCAGCCCAACCGCGGCGCGTTATGTAAATCAGTAATAACAATTACCACTTGTTTGAAAAGATGATGCTATTCTGAGTGCTACATCGGGTGTGCAGGGCCGTGCAGGGCCGTGGGGGGAGGACTGAGGGGAGGGCACAGGAGGAGGCCAATGAAGTGGGTCACAAGAATGCGCCGTGGCAGAAGTAGCTTGTGGACACCCCTCCGGCTCATCAGAGCTTCCCCGGCTGCCCCCGGGAGCCCTTCCTGTCTCTGCAGTTCTTGACCTTCAGGCCGTTGTCTGACATGTGAGCCCCTCAGAGCGGCTCGCTTAGTGGTGACAGGCGGCAGTTTCACAGCATTAGCTTTCCCAGGCAGCCACGGCCTCTCAGGTCTGAAATGACAGCCTCGCTCCTGTTTGCTGTGCGCCTGCTGTGAAGGCTTTCTGGGGGCGCGAGGCACTTCTGCCGACCCATCTGTGTCCACTGTGACCCACCTGCCACGATTCAAACTGGGCCTCACGTAAGGGGCCAAGCAGAGCGCCTGGAGGCGTGACTGCTGTGCATGAACTATTCCCATAAAATACTCTTACCTGCATGAAGTATTCTTCTAATAAGCAGTCCACCCAAGGCTCTGCGACTTCCATCGGACGCACCTCGTTAGAGATATCACAGCATTTTATCAAAATCATCTTCAGCTGCAAGAAGAGGCTTGGGGTCAGCAATGGTGCGCAGACCGGAACTCACGCTGTTGGGCTGGACTTGCCCCCCAGGAGCGGGTGGGGCTGTGGACGGGGTTGAGCTCTGCTGCCCCTCCATGGCTCAGCCAGGGCGCCTGTGGTGGGGGCCCTGGCGGTCTGCACCTAGACCCTCAGCCTCAATTGGGGAGAATGAGGGGTATCACTGCACCCCCATAGGATCAGAATGTTTTTCTTTCTTTTTTTTTTAAAGCCTCACCCAAGGATATTTTTCCATTGATTTTTAGAGAAAGTGGAAGAGAGAGGGAAAGACATATCGAGGTGAGAGAAACACATCGATTAGTTGCCTCCTGCATGTGCCCTGACCAGGGCCCGGGCCGGGGAGGAGCCTGCAATTGAGGTACGTGCCCTTGACCGGAATCGAACCTGGGACTCTTTGTCCTCAAGTTGATGCTCTATCCACTGAGCAACACCGGCTAGGGCTCAGAATGTTTTCTCGGCGGGACCTTGAGTGGTAGAACAGCCCATTTAACACGAGAACCTTCTGTCATACGAATATGCATTATGAAGTTCTTGATTATTGAAGAGACAGGAAAAAGTGTAGAGAGGCATCATTAGTGATGAATAATGGAGCCACTACAGTCAAGCTGCTAAATTATTAAAATCACGTTGCCTAAGGCAGGAGGAGATGATTCTAGTCTTGTTCTAACCAGCTGGGAACTTGCACTTGAACTCTCCAGTCCCGTGTCAATGCCTGGACATACAGCAGACCTGCAGGTAATCCTCTGATTGATTACCTCAGAAGGACTAAGAAAAGAATGTTCTCGAATCCAGACCGCTGAACGTGACCAGACCTCCTGGCGTCCATCCTCCAGACCATCTGGACCAATCCGAGGGCCAAAAATGCAGACTGGTCCTTCTCCAGAATGTACACTTTGCTATAAGTACTCTTAGCTTTTCTTTCTTCTCCCGGACATTTCTGGGTTTTGGCTTAGCTGTGTTTCTGGTTGGCAAATCCTAAGATCCTTGAATGAATCTTGATCATTTATTTCTAGCCAAAGCTTCCAGACTCTTACTCATGTGACGATAGGAATCAGAGGTTGAAAGGGCAATAGGAGTGGATAGTGCTGGGACCCCCCCCCCCCCCCCCGCGCCGGGTGGGGCCCCCCCCCCCCCCCCGTGACAAAGCGGCACATTAGAAATAATAGGGTGAAGGGGACCCTCAATGTAAAAGCAGTGAGGGCATAGCCTTGGTGCCCCAACCCCTGAATAGGACGGGCAACCGCAGATTCCTCCTGTCCCCCGCAGCCCAGGGTTAGCAAGACTGCACAAATGTCAGAGGTGGCATTAGCTTCTGCCCCCTGCTCCAGGCCCGGGTCTTCCCTGTGCTAGCCGGGCTCTCTGTCTCTGAACCCGGCCAAAGCCGCCACCCTGCAGAAGCCTCTTCTCCCCCTGCGTCCTTCCAGGTCCTGCTCTGGCCCCTCTCTCCAGCCTTCCTGGCCACCCCAGCCCCCGATTTTAGCCCCCACAGCGCCGCCCTGTGCCCGGCCACATCTTGTTTGTGCTGTTCCCTAGTTGGGTGCCTATCTGGTCCTCCCAGGACACCTGACTCCCTCCGAGCCTGGTGAGGCTGGGCATGCATTTGGTCCCTCGGATGGAGACTCGCCAGGCCCAAGGATTCAGCCAGAGCGTTTCCACCTGAGCCAGCCACGTGAGTGCCTTTGGGACCGGCTGCAGCACCAATGACTTGCTCCAGGCCCAGCGACTGTCACCTGGAATTGCCAGTGTTTGAGGTCAGTGCTGGCTGCCACTCAGAGTCTGGTGCGGGTCCACCCGGGCTGTGGGCCCCGAATCTGCCTGGGCTGCTCTCCCAGGAGGGGGGCCTTGGGGAACCTGACTTGGCTCAACTTCAGCTGAACCTCCAGGTGAGCGCTGCCCTTCGGTCCTTCCCTCGTCGCCCTGCCCCATGGCTTCTTGGGAACCGACCCAGGCCTTTCTCGTCTCCTGTGTGAGGAGTCGAGCTGCAGGCCACAGGCAATAGGGCTCTGCCTGGCAGGCCTCGGGGGGACGCTGCCCTCGACACCAGGCTGGGGCCAGCAGGGCACGGCCGTCCTAAGGGGAGCTGAATCAAGGCTTCAGGCCTGGGCCACCGGGTCCCCAAGTTGCCCTCCGAAAGGCTGGGTTCAGCATGTTTTCCGGGCCTGTCCTCTGTGGGAGAGCCAACTTTATTCTCAGGAAACCAGAGCAAGATGAATCGCCTTCACCCGCTTACTATCCTCACACCAGAATGAGGGGAGCGTGCAAAAACGCTGCCGGTAGCCACGACGGAGCTTTACCAGGGGAGGTTCCCAGCAGGCGGCCTTCCTGGTGAGACTGGGACCTTTGAAAACCAGCTTTATCGGCATCTCCCCCCAAGGCAAGTAGCAGTTGTGGTTTCTCGGTTTCTGGTCTGAGCTGGAGGAAGGACTCCCTCACCAGCTCCCCCACCCCCGAGGTGAAACCAGCCTACTCACCAGGGTCATGTGCTCCTCGTTGCTGTAGTCGAAGTTCTCCATCTTCTCTTTGAAGGAATCCATGATCTCTGCGTGCCTGGCCATGTCAGTGGCCAAGATTAATGTGATCATGCCCTGAAGAGCGAAAGAGCAAAGCATGAACACCGGGCAAATCCCAAGGATTCCCCATTGAGCGCCGACTGTGTGCTGAGCCCTCTGCACACACCAAGCCAATGAGTCCTCATGCCAGCCCTGTGTGTGTCTAGGAATCACTGTCCTCATTTTCATTTTATTCATTATTATTATTTTTGTTAATCCTCACCTGAGGATATTTTTCCATTGATTTTTAGAGAGTGGAAGAGAGAGGGAAAGGCAGAGAGGAACATTGATGTGAGAGAAACACATTGATTGTTTGTCTCCTCCACGAGCCCTGCCAGGGCCTGGGAACCTGTAACTGCGGTACCGGCCCTTGACCTGCATCGAACCCCGGACCCTTTGGTCCACAGGCCTACGCTCTATCCACTGAGCCAAACCAGCTAGGGTGCTGTGTTCACTTTTAGATACAGAAGCTGACATTTGACGAGGCCGAGGGCCCTGCCCAGGCTGCAGGGGGAGGGTGGAAGCCTGGCGTTCAGACCCAGGTGAGCCTGACCCCTCCCCCTGCGCTGTGTGTGCGAAGCAGCAGCAGCCACACCAGGTCTCCCAGGACAATGTCCTCATGGATGGCAGCTTGGCCGCGGACAAAGGCTTCCCCGCGGTTTAGTCGTCTAGGCCTGTGGTGTGTGCCTTCCAGATCTTGTTGGAGGTCAATGACCGATTTTCCAAGGGTATTTTTCCCCTGTTATCTAATCTGTATGTGATGACATGTGTACCTATTGCTTGGGAGTGATCAAAGTCTGACTATGTACAATAGCATTCTTCTATGAACGAATTTGTAAATGAGTTTTTAATATAAATAATCCATTACCTTACTAATCAGATGTTGGCTTAAAAGTAACATAATTCAAAACCATGACCATCTGACCATCCATCCATCCACCAATCCATCCATGCAATCCACTCATCCACCCATCAATTTATCCATCTAACTTGTCCATCTGTCTGTCCGTTGGTCTGTAGATCCATCCATCCACCCACCCACAAGCATTTACAAACACACCGCTGTGCCGAGCATGGTGTTCTACTTTTTCAAAAAAAATGAAACCACAATCATCAAATGCAGAGTTCAAGTCACCCAACATAGATCATCTCAGATGTTTGGAGGAGGGGGGCATGACTGACATTCTGAATGGTGCCTTTTCCCTGTGAAGATTTAATTGTGTAGTAGGAAAGGACTTATGTCGTGAGGAGTTAGCCCTCAAAATATTCAATGACTAAATGTTATTAAAAATCAGGACAACTGCCCGGCTGGTATAGCTCAGCAGTTGAGTGTCGACCTACAAATCAGGAGGTCATTGTTCAATTCCCGGTCAGGACATATGCCTGGGTTTTGGGCTTGATCCCCAGTAGGGGGCGTGCAGGAGGCAGCTGATCAATGATTCCCTCTCATCATTGATGTTTCTATTATTCTCTCCGTTTCCTTCCTCTCTGAAATCAATAAAAATATTTTTAAAAATTGGGACAGCTGATTTTATTCTCAGAAAAAGTCTCGTTTGAACATGAAGCGTTTGAGGCAGGACAACCCTGTGTGCCCCATGGCGGACACGAGGAAGATCTGGCTGTGGGGTCAGCCGCTCCTCCAGCCAGGCACTTCCTTCCCAGGGGTCGCTGGGTCTCCCACGAAGGGGCGTTCAGGTGCTCGGATTCTCCACGAGCCCTGCCAGGGCCTGGGAACCTGTAACTGCGGTACCGGCCCTTGACCTGCATCGAACCCCGGACCCTTTGGTCCACAGGCCTACGCTCTATCCACTGAGCCAAACCAGCTAGGGTGCTGTGTTCACTTTTAGATACAGAAGCTGACATTTGACGAGGCCGAGGGCCCTGCCCAGGCTGCAGGGGGAGGGTGGAAGCCTGGCGTTCAGACCCAGGTGAGCCTGACCCCTCCCCCTGCGCTGTGTGTGCGAAGCAGCAGCAGCCACACCAGGTCTCCCAGGACAATGTCCTCATGGATGGCAGCTTGGCCGCGGACAAAGGCTTCCCTGCGGTTTAGTCGTCTAGGCCTGTGGTGTGTGCCTTCCAGATCTTGTTGGAGGTCAATGACCGATTTTCCAAGGGTATTTTTCCCCTGTTATCTAATCTGTATGTGATGACATGTGTACCTATTGCTTGGGAGTGATCAAAGTCTGACTATGTACAATAGCATTCTTCTATGAACGAATTTGTAAATGAGTTTTTAATATAAATAATCCATTACCTTACTAATCAGATGTTGGCTTAAAAGTAACATAATTCAAAACCATGACCATCTGACCATCCATCCATCCACCAATCCATCCATGCAATCCACTCATCCACCCATCAATTTATCCATCTAACTTGTCCATCTGTCTGTCCGTTGGTCTGTAGATCCATCCATCCACCCACCCACCCACAAGCATTTACAAACACACCGCTGTGCCGAGCATGGTGTTCTACTTTTTCAAAAAAAATGAAACCACAATCATCAAATGCAGAGTTCAAGTCACCCAACATAGGTCATCTCAGATGTTTGGAGGAGGGGGGCATGACTGACATTCTGAATGGTGCCTTTTCCCTGTGAAGATTTAATTGTGTAGTAGGAAAGGACTTATGTCGTGAGGAGTTAGCCCTCAAAATATTCAATGACAAAATGTTATTAAAAATCAGGACAACTGCCCGGCTGGTATAGCTCAGCAGTTGAGTGTCGACCTACAAATCAGGAGGTCATTGTTCAATTCCCGGTCAGGACATATGCCTGGGTTTTGGGCTTGATCCCCAGTAGGGGGCATGCAGGAGGCAGCTGATCAATGATTCCCTCTCATCATTGATGTTTCTATTATTCTCTCCGTTTCCTTCCTCTCTGAAATCAATAAAAATATTTTTAAAAATTGGGACAGCTGATTTTATTCTCAGAAAAAGTCTCGTTTGAACATGAAGCGTTTGAGGCAGGACAACCCTGTGTGCCCCATGGCGGACACGAGGAAGATCTGGCTGTGGGGTCAGCCGCTCCTCCAGCCAGGCACTTCCTTCCCAGGGGTCGCTGGGTCTCCCACGAAGGGGCGTTCAGGTGCTCGGATTCTCCAGGTCGTATGCATTCCAGGTCGCTGGGCAGCCGTCAGGGGCAGCAGCCAATGCAGTGCTGTCTCCAGGACTTGCCCTTTACCTGCTTCGGAGAAAGGTTCCCTCGGGCTCTTCAGAACAGCACGTGGCACTTGCTTGCCCGGTGGTTCCATAAACATGGGAGGGAGGCAGAAGCCTGGGCTTGAGGAGGGACTGTGCCGGGAACGGTGATTCAGCGAGGACAGTAAGCACCACATTTAGCTCTGAACTTCCTGGAAGCAGGGCCAGTGGGGAAACGTGGTTTATGAAGCTGTTTTCCGACCGAGCGAAGCTTATCAGGAGGGAGGGTTCCCAGCTCTGGATTCTAGACCCTTTATCAGGTGCATCTTCAGGGAAGGCCACGAAGACATCGAATGGGTGCGGTTTTCATCCATGGACTGTCAGGGTGTGGCTCGAGACGCGGACCTTGGCTCCTGTGCAGTGTCCCAGGCTGCCATCCACATGGACCCGGGGACACAGAGGACCACAAAGGTGTTGTCTCAGGGTTCTGGAGGCCAGAAGCCTGAATCCAAGGTGTAGGAGGGCCCTCCTCCCTCCCAGGGCTCCAGGGCAGGGTCCCCTGCTTCTTCCAGCTGCTGGTGGCCCAGCATTCCTTGGCTTGTGTCCACATCACTCCAGTCTCTGCCTCTGTCATCTCATGGCCTTGTCGTCTGTGTATCTGTGTCTTCTCCTCTTCGGTCTCTTATAGAGACACCTGTCGTTGGATTTAGGGCCCACCTGGCTAGCCCAAGCTAGTCTTACCTGGCGATCCTAACAATGCAGCTGCGAAGACCTTTTTCCAATTCAGGGTACCTTCACAAGGCCGAGGGTCAGGAGGTAGACATACATTTGTTTTTGTTTTTTTGGCAGGGGTGCGGCTACCATTCAACCTACTACATTCCTCCAAAAGGTCGCCCTGATGTCCTCCCTCCTGTGCAAACGTCAGAGGGTGGGGCACAGAGTCACGCTCGCTCGGTGGGACCTCCTGGGCGAGGGCTGTCATTTGTGGTGAGTGGAAGTGTCTGCCTCAGGACAGGGGGCGCTCTCAGCCTCCTACCAAAGCGCCCTGAGAAGTGGTCAAGTCTCTTAGCTGAAGTGGGCAGTGGGCAGACTGGGTCATGGGGTGGCAGGGGACAGTGGTCAGGGCCCTGCTAGGTTGGATGTAGCAGGTGTGTCTGTCCAGGGTCTGCTGTGCACTCCCTGTGCTCCCTGGGCAAGTTACCCAGCGTCTGTGGGTCTCACTTCCTTGTGTGGCAATGGAGAAAGGGCGTATCTCCAAGGATAAGTTCAGTCCCGGGTGTGAACTGCCGTCAGTGGAATCCCAGGTACGCAGGCCAGGGGCGTGCACCTCTTCCTGGGCGCTATGTGGCCTTGGAGGCGGTGGGAAGGGAGGCCCGCTACCCAGGGTCCCTGTGGGCGCTGCTGTGACCAGGAGCTTCTGGGAGCCTCAGCCCGGAGAAGGGGTTCTCTTGTGGTGGTGCTGGCTGTGTCCCCCCAAACTCCCCCTCACCCTGCAGGCAGCGTGCCCCCACCCCTGCATACCTGTCGGATCTGCTTGAACCCGTCGGGCTGCACGTTGGAGAAGATGTTGCACTCGGGCTGGGCGAGGATCTGGAAGGCCACGGCGCAGTGGTGGTTCTCCAGGGGCGAGATGTCGTTGTAGCGCACGGCCAGCTCGGTGCGGGCATTGATCTGGTACCTGGAATTGGGGGTGAGGGGACAGGAGCCTCAGGAGCCCGCACTCGGAGGTGCCTGTGTGTCAGGGCAACACACTGAGGGGTACAGTGCTGCCCGTAGGGGCTGGGAAGCAGTTGTGAAAGGGCTGGTAGAGGCGGCTGCACTCTGCCCGTGCCAGGAACTCACTTCTCCCGGCTCCCTGACTCTCTGCTGCCCCTTGACTGAGATGATCCCAGGTTTTTACAGTCCTGCCAGGTGGACAGCACCCAGAAGTCTCCATTTCTCTGTTACGGTGCCCTGAAGGCGCCCCGGCCTTTCGGTACGGCACCTTGCAGACATTTCAATACGTGCAAAAGGCAGGCATTTGGGAGAAGAGTCAGATGCTGTGGTCCAGGCCCCGTGCTGGCCCGTCACCAAGGGTGGGCACTGAGGGAGTGGGTGTCCACGGGCTCCCACGCCTTAGAATCCATGGTCCTGACCATGGCAGCAAGGTTCTCAGGCACCTTTGAGCTCATTGTGCGTAAAATAAAACTCGGTGCACAGATACACACGTCTGATAGAAAGAAGCCATGCGTCACTGTGAACGCAAACCAATGCCACGCGGTCGGGACTGCGGCGGTCAGGTGGGTGGGACTCTGTGCCTTTGCCTCCAAGAGGCGGGAACGGATCAATGTTCCAGCAAAGCCCCACGGCCCACCGTGCACCCCTCCCACTCCCCGCTCACCCACCCTCCTCTCGCTGTCCTAGCCCTGGCACGGTCCCTGTGGGAACAGGGTGGGGAGGCGGCCGTGGGGGGCGTGGGATCCAGAGTGAGATCCCTGTCCGCGTGGGCATCAGGCCCTGCTTCAGGTACCACCAGGGCTCAGGCCTGTGCAGAGGCACAGCCTGGAGCCAGGACCACAGAGGGTGTGGCAGCCTCGTAGGGTTTGGTAACCTTTAAGGGTCTGCCCCAGGGAGGCCCAAGGCCTTGGACAAAGTTCCAAAGTGGGGAGCTGTGTTCCATGGAGGTGGTGCTGGGGGGCTCAGAGGCCTCTGCTGACGCTCCGATTTGGGGCTGGTCTGAGTATTGAGCTGAACCGAGGGCCCTTTAAAACGAAAAGTCACCATGCACGCACGTGTTGTTGTATCCTGGATGGTCCAGATCGTGGCAGATGGCTGCGGTCATTAGGATCAAGATATCCATTTGGGAAAACTTCTCCTGGATTAGAGAGGGGGGGGATGGGTGAGGAGGGGGTGGAGGGGGGTGGGAAACGAGTGATAAGGGCAGGATGAAGCCCCCTCCAGCCGCTGGCCTGGTGGGAGAGGACCCGTTCCCTCTCTGGGGTGGGGTGAGGGGGCCCACTTGCTCAGTGACTCAGAAGCGCCTCGCCTAGGTGGGCGATGACACTGATGGGCTGGGTGGGTTCCCTGGAGGGTGGAGGAGCTGCTGCGGAGCCCCGAGGCTGGCTGTCCCCTCTGGGTGGGGGTGCGTCCCTGCCATCCCCTGGAGGGGCTCCCCCAGACCCACCTGGAGCCCGCAGAGCCAGATCATGCTGTACATCATCTGGGCCACGCAGAAGCAGTGCCGGAAGTTGTGGAAAGGGTTGTTCCTGTAGTTGTCGTGCACGCAGAGCTGCGGGAGACAAGGGTCTGACCGCCTGCGCTGTGCCCACCGCCCTCTCCAGCTCCCTCGCTAGCCATCCCAGATGCTCCCTGCCCCGCCCTCGTCTGACCCTGAGGCCAACAGTGCTCCTGTGAGGACAGGTGAGGATGGGTGGCCCAGAGGGCAGGTGTGGGGACAGACCTCCAGCTTTCACCGTGGGCTCCTAGACTCAGGGTGTCTGAGCAGCCACACTGGGACATGGACATTCTGCTGTGTCCAGGGCCGAGCCAGGGGGATTACCTGGGTTCCAGTGACTGGCTGACCTTTAATATTTGGTTCTGAGCAGTATTTTATTTTTAAAAAAGCCTGCTATTAACACACACTCATACATGCACATTCACGCATGCACACACTCTCACACATACTACTCACACCCACAGCCACACATGTACAAATGCACACACACGCACCTTTACACAGGCACACCCTCACAGACATACTCACATACACATACATACACATACACTCACACATGCACACTCACATACACGCGCACACTCACACACACGCGCACACACAATACTTACACAAGCATATTCACAAACATACATACACTGACACATGAACACACATGAACACACTCATGCTCACTCACATGGTCCTACTCAAAGACACTCATAACATTCTCACACATACTCATACACATGCAAACACTTGTACATGTACATACGCATGTCTACTTTCCTCACAAACATGCACACACTCAGACACTTTCACACACTCATACATACTTGCGCGCACACACACACACACACACACACACACACACACACATGCCCCTGCTTTAGAACATGCAGATGTCTACTTTCCTCACAAACATGCACACACTCAGACATTTTCACACACTCATACTCATACACACACACACACATACACACACACACATGCCCCTGCTTTAGAACATGCACCTGCACTGGTCTGCCCTGTCCTCACCATCTTCTCACTTCCTGGAGCAGGAGCGCAGGGGGGAGTGTGTGGAGGGGACACAGACCGGCGGAATGTCCTGGGAGAACTCTCATGAGCGCCCAGGGCCACCAGGACGGTGCCCGGATGGCCACTCCCATGTAACTGGATGAAACTGTGTTCAAGAGGTATTGGAGGGGCTGCCACTTACCAGCCACCTCTTGAGCGTGATGGGGTTGATGCTGAAGTCTCTGACCAGGCAGAGGTCGTGGTACATGTGCTCCAAGCAGCTCAGCATCTGCGGGAACAGGAAGAGCAAAGGGTGGTCAACAGCACGCGGGCCGCCCGGCCCTACCGTCCCGGGAGAGGCCTGCAGGGCAAGCCGGGCAGCTTCTCCAGGCCCGTCCCCACTCCAGGCACACCCTCACAGACATACTCACATACACATACACCTACATACACATACACTCACACATGCATACTCACACACACATTCGCGCACACAATACTTACACAAGCACATTCACACACACATACATACACTGACACATATTCACACATGAACACACACATGCTCGCTCACATGGTCCCACTCACAGACACTCATAACACACTCATACACATGCAAACACTTGCACATGTACATAGTCATGTCTACTTTCCTCACAAACATGCACACACTCAGACATTTTCACACACTCATACTCATACACACACACACACATACACACACACACATGCCCCTGCTTTAGAACATGCACCTGCACTGGTCTGCCCTGTCCTCACCATCTTCTCACTTCCTGGAGCAGGAGCGCAGGGGGGAGTGTGTGGAGGGGACACAGACCGGCGGAATGTCCTGGGAGAACTCTCATGAGCGCCCAGGGCCACCAGGACGGTGCCCGGATGGCCACTCCCATGTAACTGGATGAAACTGTGTTCAAGAGGTATTGGAGGGGCTGCCACTTACCAGCCACCTCTTGAGCGTGATGGGGTTGATGCTGAAGTCTCTGACCAGGCAGAGGTCGTGGTACATGTGCTCCAAGCAGCTCAGCATCTGCGGGAACAGGAAGAGCAAAGGGTGGTCAACAGCACGCGGGCCGCCCGGCCCTACCATCCCGGGAGAGGCCCGCAGGGCAAGCCGGGCAGCTTCTCCAGGCCCATCCCCAGCGGGGAGCCCTCCCTGGCCCAGGTTCCCCGAGAGTGAAGCCTATTGACTGGGGGTTCAGCATCCCGCAGAAGGGATGGGGGTTTGAAAGAGCAGTCAGTGTTCAGAAGTCAATGGAATTCTATACAAGAAGGAATAGCAAGCGGCTGGATGAGAGGGAGTGTGCTGCGCCCAAAGGACCACATCAGAGATGATTTCATTTATTTCCACTCACAAGGCACAATCTCAGTGGGTCAACCTCGCAGTCTGATGTTCCAGGACGCGGCTCCATCTAACTCAGACCTGAGAGCAGTGCCCCAGAGAAAGGCCCTTCACTCGCCTCAGGCCTGAGCCAGAGGGTAAAGGGGCCCAGCAACTTCCATCCCTAACACCCTCATTTGCCCCCTGGGCCACTTATTAATGTGTTAAATTTAGTCCAGAAGGTGAGTGCATTCTGGGTAAGTGCCCTCCCCTCCCTGCAACCTTACTTCACTGTCTTCTAAAAAAAAAGAAAAAATCCTGCTCACGTTGAAATAGATTTTGTTTTCAGTCCCAAAGAGGATTTACTGTCACTGTTATCATCTATTTAAATATCGCTCAGAGCTCTGGAGCTAATTAAGCGAGGGAAGACAGATTAAATTATTTTTAATAAATGAAAGTTTGACAAAGTGGGCTTTGCCTTCTGGGAAAGCAGGTCTTAGATGGGAAGCCCAGGGAGACAGATCTGCAAAGTAGGGGTAATGAAGATGTCACCGGGGTGTGCAGAGCTGACACCAGCCAGCGCCCCTCTGCCCAGGGCCACACACCTGTGCCCTGCCCTCTGTCACATCCTCCAGCTGCCCGGTGCCTGTGCAGGCATGGCAGGGCCTCCAGACTGAGGGGCTGCAGCCCCGACACCCCTTGCCCCACCCACCAGCCCATGCGCCGCTCCAGGCAACCCCCAGGAGCTGCATGAAATGATCAGCAGACAAAACCATCTGGTGCCATGTCTGAGGCACGTGTGGTGTCTGGAGCAGGAGTGATGTGGCCATGCATCTGTCTCCAAGCTGGTGGCAGGTCCTGGTCGGACAGCTGGGCGATGGGGAGTGTGGAGGACTCAGGAGGTGACCAGGAGGCCCAGCCTGTGAGCCCTGTGCTCAGTAGAGGTGGCCACACTCCACTTCCCGGCCCCTGGGAGCTCTGACAGTAGCTTGCCGGGGGCAGCAGCAGTGTGAGGTCATGGACTCCTGGGCTGGACCCGGGTGATGCTGGGCACAGCATCTCTCCTGCTCAAAGGGAGAGGTGAACCATCACCACTGGGGGCTCTGACGTGCTCAGGGTGCGAGGTGCTTTGTGGGTGGCCAGATGCAGTTTCTCGGGGGCCAGGTGGGATTTCTAAGTTTTCAGTTGTGACTCTTCAGTTGATCATCTTTGCTGCCCATGGTCCAAAATTCATTGCACCCCCAGATTTGCCAGAGGCCCGGGGTCCAGCCTTTGGGCACCTCTGGTTGTCACCACAGGCAGCGGGAAGAACCAGGCCCCTCACAAATCTCTGAACCACTGAGATGTGCTGGCAGGAGCCCCAGGCCACACAGAGGCCGAGCCCACACGCAGGGAGCTGTCTGGCTCCTCCCACGCTGGCCCTGGTGCTGCTATACGTACACCCCGCATGTACATGCACCCCACATGTACATACACCCTGCGGGTACATACACCCGCGTGTCGGAGGACAGGGAGGCGGCCTTCCCATCATGGATGCATGAATCCTTCACCTCTCAATGTGAGGGCGTGTTCTCTCTCTGGCCACATGACCCTGTGCTCAGAGGAGACAGAAATGGCAGCGATGCCCATACAGGTGCTTTGCCATCAGGGGACAGGCTTCCCCTCTTGCTCCTCGTGGCTGAGGACAAATGACTCCAGGGACCGTGCTTTTTCTCGATGTCTCTATAGTGGTGCTTGTCCACCTGCCGGAAGCAGGGACCTGCACGGTCTCGGCCGTTGCGACCAGAGGTCACACCTCTCTTTTCTCCAGGTCACGCGGCCTCCCACACCCCGTCCATTTCTCACAGTGCATTGATCTGGCAGGTGATGGCCGCTCCCCTAAAATGCCTCCTGCTCCTTCATATCCACGCTCCCGGCCTGCACGTGGCCTGGACGTTATGGAGCACGTGCGCCATCTGGTCCGGTGTTTGCTACGGGACCATCCCTGGCACACAGGCGGCCTCCCCTCAGGCTGGCTGCGGCGGGAGGAGGCGGAATCTCGGGTTTCTGGTCAGTGCTGCCGCGGCTTCCCCTTTGTTGGGGAACAGGAATGAAAGCACAAGCAGGGTTCACTCGGGGGGGACCCCAGCGCCCTGGGAACGGGCCAGCGCTGGTGAACCTCCCTTTCCTGCCGTCACAGGGATGTGGCCGCTGCCGCTCTCGTCCAGGCGGGCAGCTTGCTGGGGGCAGCCTTTCTGCGTCTCTGCTACTGCAAAGCTGGACAGTCCGTAGATTTTGGGGGCCTGATGTCTGTGATGAGGGACTTTCTGTGTTCTTGAGGTTCAGAAGAGACGGGTATGACTGATATGATTTGGTAACTAGACCAAACAAAGGAAACCTCCTTTTTTGGTGTTTTCTCAGCAAAAGGGAAAGTAAAAAAAAATCTTGCTAAGTGCCTCGTCTCCCAGGTCCTGTACGTGTGCCTGTCCGGGGGCCGGCTGCGCCTTTCCCCATAGAAGCTGCAGTGGGGGGGCGGGGGGTCTGTGGGCAGCAGCTGGCAGCTGAGAGGGTGTTTGTGGAGTCAGTACAGGGCCCCTGGGGACTCTCGACGATGATGCTCCCTGGGGGTGAGCACCTGCAGTCAGCACCCCAGGGTTCAAGCCCCTGCCCTTGACTGCCTGCTCCTCTCTGACACCCCCTTCCTGAGTTCTGTCTCCAGGACCCCCCCTGAGTCAACCAAGAGTCAGTTTAACTAAAATCTGGAGAATCAAGTGAAAAAAGCAACAAAAAGAACAGAGAGGAGAAAGGCCAGGGGGAGAGTGACGGGGATGCTTCTGTCACGTCCCCGAGACGCCGGTCCCGGAGGCTCCCTCACTCACCTCGTTGGGCTCCCAGAGCCAGACGTCGAAGGTCGGCTTGCGCAGGCCCTCTATGGTCTCTGGCGAGAGCAGGTACTGGAAAGGACAGGAGGGCGTTAGCCTCTGGGCTGAGCCACGGCCGTCACCTCTGGGGGACGGGGACGTTTCCTCTGTCCCTCAAGGACACCCGTGTACAGGCTTGCAGGCTACATTCTGCAAGAATTCTGGTGGCGGGCAAACTCCAGGGACAGGAATCCCACCCCGAGGCAGGGCCAGAGCGCCCGGCATGCCCACATGGGCGAGAGGGACCGTTCTGGGGTGACGGGGACGCTCCATCCCTTGACTGCGGTGGATGTTCCGTGACTACACAAGTTTGTCAAAATTCACCATACAATGCAACTCACTGCACGTAGGTAACATCTCAATAAACTTGACTTGAAGAAGCAAAGTGAATTCGCGGGGAAAATTGCTTGGCGTAAGTCCAAATACTGGCTCAGAAGTGGGTTTGGGTTTGCTTTTTGCGGGAGCCCATCTGGTTTAGCTGTGGGCTGAGGGCCTCTAGGACACGAGTCAGAGTTAAATCGTCACAGGAAACACGAACTGTGATTTTAGACGTCAGCCAGTCATGGTGTTTTGGGATTAGATATCGTGTTCCCCAGGGGTCATGGGGTTTCGGTTTCCTTTTTTTAAGGGGCCGCAGTGGAGCACTGAGACCCTGTACTTTGGACCTAGGCTGGGCCTCGTGACTCCCTGGGGCTGGAACGTGAGAGATTTGGGTCACATTTTCCTACAGAAGAGACACCAGTATCCATCTGAAAACCCTGGACAAGCCTGGTTGGCGTGGCTCAGGGGTTGAGCGTCCCAAGAACCAGGAGGTCACGGCTTGATTCCCAGTCAGGGCACATGCCTGGGTTGTGGGTTCCACCACCAGTAGGGGGCGTGCAGGAGGCAGCCGATCAATGATTCTTTCCCCTCATTGGTGTTTCTATCTCTCTCTCCCTCTCCCTTCCTCTCTCTGAAATCAATCAAAACATATTAAAAAACAAAACCAAACAAACCACGGACAACCTGCAGGCCCCTGTGAGCAAGCGGGAGCCGAATATCAGCTCAAGAGGGCGCTGAAGGTCAGCTGGGCCGGGGGCTCGTTCACTCACCAGCTGAGGGCTCTGCTGAGATGGGTGAACACCATCCTGAGGACCCCCCTCCCCAATTCCCGGGGCCCTGCTGCTTTCACAAGGGCCCGGGGTCTCTGGTAACTGAGAAATCTTTTGTGACCGAAAAGCAAAACTTCTCATAATAACAGCGTATTGTTCAGGGACAGAAGATCCAAGACAGCAGATTTTTAAAAAATTTACTTAGAAATTTAGCCCTTACCTCCCGCCACAGGAAGCTATGGTCTGGGACCACTTTGGCTAAACAAATGTCAAAGAGAAAACTATTCTGCTTAAGAAGAACAGGTGCGTCCGGCAGCCCATGGCCGTGGCAGGAGCTGTTTCTGCAAATGTGTAGACATTGAGCGGCCAGGCCAGGAGGCCAGGGTGGCCGAGGGCGGGTCTGTGCCCCGGGCTGTGGTACAGCGTATTGTTCAGGGACAGAAGATCCAAGACAGCAGATTTTTTAAAAATTTACTTAGAAATTTAGCCCTTACCTCCCGCCACAGGAAGCTATGGTCTGGGACCACTTTGGCTAAACAAATGTCAAAGAGAAAACTATTCTGCTTAAGAAGAACAGGCGCGTCCGGCAGCCCATGGCCGCGGCAGGAGCTGTTTCTGCAAATGTGCAGACATTGGGCGGCCAGGCCAGGAGGCCAGGGTGGCCGAGGGTGGGGCCTGTGCCTGGGGCTGTGGACACAGATGCTCTATCTTCAGAGGCAGAATTTCATCTTACCTTGGGATAAGTGGGGACATCACGTTGAGGTGTCAACTTCTTGTTGTTATCCAAAAAACTGTACTTACAGGGGCAGCTGGTCCTAGGGGGGTAAGCAAAGGTTAGTTCTGGCGCCGTTGCTTCAGTCTGGGTGTTCACGTGGGCAGGGACTGTGGGCACCTCCTCAGAGCAAAACAAACTGCAAACCCCATGCCAAGCCCAAAGCAAACCCTACAGACACCCTTGGTCGTATCTGTTGTGGGAGGATAAGTCATAAAGCCAGAGACATCTCATCGCTAACCCCCAGGGCCCCTGCTGGGCCTCCGCAGGTACAGTGGGCTCTTGGAAACATGGGTCTGCATTACAGATAAGCTCCTAAAAACTTTTTAAAATGATGAAAGCAAAGCATGTTCCTTCCATAAAATTCAACCAACACAGAAGTAAAGTAAAATAAAAAAAAAATCGAAGTTCCTACGTCACCCCCTCCTTTCCTGTTAAGTCGAACACCCTGGGAATCCCTGCTGCGGTGTGGGGTATTCTTCCGGAACATCCTGGGCCTGGACACACACGGACAGCCCCGTGCTTTCTTTTTTTTTTCTTTAAATATATATAAAACCAGAGACATCTCATCGCTAACCCCCAGGGCCCCTGCTGGGCCTCCGCAGGTACAGTGGGCTCTTGGAAACATGGGTCTTCATTACAGATAAGCTCCTAAAAACTTTTTAAAATGATGAGAGCCAAGTGCGTTCCTTCCATAAAATTCAACCAACACAGAAGTAAAAAAATAAATAAAAATATCGAAGTTCCTACTTCAACCCCTCCTTTCCTGTTAAGTTGAACACCCTGGGAATCCCTGCTGCGGTGTGGGGTATTCTTCCGGAACATCCTGGGCCTGGACACACACGGACAGCCCCGTGCTTTCAAACAAAGGTGGGATTGTACAAACGTACTCCTCGGCCGCTAGCTGTTTTCACCTAACGCACCACAAACCTGCTGGTGTTGCTTCACAGAGCCCAGCCTTGTTAAAAGCAAGCCCTTCTCCGGTGCCCGGGGGTGTGGCCGCACTGCACGCTATCAATCCGGCCCCCAAGACGACTTCAGGATGCCCCCAATTTTCCCATCACATACGTGCTGACAGGTGGATCTGCTACCTGGCTCGGTCTTCGTCATTACTCAATGTCAAGGTGTCCCACATAAGAACAGAAGGAAAGGAGCCAGGTGTGATCTGGATAGAAAGCCACCCTCCGGTATCGGGGACAGTGTGCTGGCCCGTGGGGTCGTACCCGGGGCTGGACGTGGAGGGCCACCCCAGGAGATCTGGCCGCTCCGTGGCCCCCTCCCCACCTGTGGACCTTAACTTTCTTGTATGTGAACGTGCTCTCCATCCTCCCGCTGATGGGGAGCACAAGGGGGTGGGGGTGTCTGCACCCCTCTGAGATTCTCAGGCTGGTGGGCGGGAGCCAGCCCATCAACGTGCCGCAGTAGCAGCTCGTGCGGTTTGTGGGAGCCATTGACGGCCGTACAGTAAGAGCCATGAAGAAATGCACACCCTTTCAGCTCGAATGTCTACTCTGGGGGATTCACCTTAAGAGAAGAATTAGACACAAGCAAACAGCTCTGTGCACAAAGGTATTCATCGTGTAAAAAACACCGAACCGAACGAGAAGTGACTTAAATGGCTCCAAATAGAAACTAATTGAAGCCATTTTGGTACGGTGTGATCTTTAAGATAATTGAGAAAGCGATGTGAGGTGAGGAAAGTTAGGGTGAAAAGAGAAGTGTCGCCCACAGCAGGTACTGAACCGGAGTGCGGAAATACTCTCCCAGGCGCGAGCAAACACGCTCACGGTGGGTGGACAGCGAGCCGGCGCTGTGCCCTCTGGAAGAAGGGGTGAGCCACGTGTGGGTTAAATCTGACCTATTTCTCTCTCACAATGCTGTGTGTGAAAAAATTAAACATAGTATTTCTTGTTTTTTCATATGCAAAAAACCCCACAAAACTTATGTGAAATCAGTGTCCGCATGTGAATTGGGGGCCTTGTGGCTGCTGTCATTTTGGCGATTCACCCCCACATCAGGTTAGTCTGATGGCTTTATAAGGAGGCTGTGCTGCTTGCAAACTCAGGATAATCAAGCTATTTTCTTTCTGAAAAAGGAGCCCTCGGTACTATTTTCTTGGCATGCTGCTACTCCTCCCCTCAACTCTACGCTAATAGGAGCAATCAGAGTTGCTGTGACAGCTTCCTGCGTGAAGGGGGTGTAACAAAAGAGTAACAAAGTGAACCAATAGAAGGTCCCAACCACATGATTTCCATGTCACCCTGCGAAGGAGAAATGCCATTTGCACATTCCTGAGCAGTGCTGAACTTCGTCTGTGCACTTAAGAAAAGAGATAACGTTATCATGACCTTTTTTCTGCTTTTACCCCCTTTTGTATAAATACCCACGCACGTGCCGTGTAGGTGAGTTGTGTACATTTGCCAGGAGGGCTGTGGCAAGAGGGCTGGACAGCTGGAATCCAGCTGCTTCCTCAAAAATCCAAGCATTGGCAGTGTCTGCTGGGTGCCTGGCAACTTGTGCCAGGGCCTCTCCACCTCGCCAGGCGGCCCTGCCTGCTCCCTCTGCACCCAGTTGCCATGGGAACCAGCATCCTCCAGCTGATAGAGCAGCTGGCATGATGCCTTTCCTTTTCATTCTATTTGGAGCGTGTTTTTCTTTTCATTTCCTGGGCTCTCAGCCTCCACTCCCCTGGGGCTCACACCATTGGTCAAGGCCATTTGTTGGAGATGCAGTTGAGATTACAGACCCCAGAGCCCTCAGATGCCACTCATGCTCCTGCAGCCCTCCCCGGCCCCGAGTCAACCAGCAAGCTCCACCCTGTGGCCTAAATTCCAGCAGGCCACTGGACCTCTTCCCTCGTGGGGGGAAAAAAGAGAAACCCCAAGGTGTGTGTCACCGGGGAGGGCAGCCTATTCTGGGGGTGTCTGTGAGCCTGCCCACTACCTGGCTGCTGTCTGCTGCTCCCCGAGAGGAAAAGGAGGCCTGGTGCGTGCAGACCTGGCCCCAAGGCCCTGTCAGGGGTGCTGTGTGGGTGGACCTGGGTCGGCACTTCAGGCTCATTAGCCTTTGGTTCGTGGGGACAGAGTGGGGCTCGCCCGGCAGGTGCCTTTGTCCTATCTGCCCCCCCAGAGAGGCAGGGCAGGGTGGACATCATGGGAAGAGCTACTCAGAGGTGCAGTTTCTCCCCCAGCACTGCAGGGGGGTCCCACTTAACAGGCCGGGTCCCTGGGGACGCTGAAATGACACCCCTGCTGATAAAAATGCAACCCTGCTGCCAACAGGGACAGGAGAGAGTGCCAGCCACGGCCTGTTCCACTCCTCCTTCTGTTTCCCATAAAGAAAAGGGAAGGCTGTTCTCTCTGGCACAGAAGGGGCTGTGAGCTCCTGGGCCCGGCCTGGGTGGTAGGGGTTGGGGGGTGATGCTGCTGAGGACTCGACCTGAGCCCAGGACATGGACTCTTTGTTCTAAGTGTGTCGTGACATTTGAGATCCGCCCCCTGCCCCCACCTGTCTTTGATGGAGGAGTCACTTTTACCCCCTCTTGTCTCTTGCCTCTGTGGGCTGCTGTGCAACTGTCTGTTGAGAATATCGCCTTTGGAGCCCAGGACGCTGGACATCTTCTCTTTGGATTATGGAGCTGTGAGTTCTAGAATGTGCTTCTCTGGGGGGGCGGTGCCTTACTGGGGTGAGCCCCAGCGCTCACCACACCTCAGCTCAGCCCGCCCTGCCCCAGAGCGGGGCCTGCAGGTGACATCTTGTCTCTGGGCCCCAGGCTGGCTTCCTCTCACGGGCTCTGAAATCAGGTGTATTTTCCCCCTGTGGTGTGTTGTGGGTTGAGCTGTATCCCCCAAAGGTCACATGTTAAAGTCCTAGCTCGGGGACCGTGTGCCTTCATTTGGAAACAGGGCCGTTACTGATGTGCTCAGCTAACACGGCCAATGGGAGCAGGGTGGGCTCTAATTCACTAGGACTGGTCTCCTTTTTAAAAAGGGAACATTGGACACAGATATATACACACAGGGAGGCTGCCATGTGAAGACAGAGACGGGAGTAATGTCTCTACAGTCCAGGGAACCCCGAGGATTGCCGGCACCGCCAGGGCTGGGAGAGGCCTGGGACAGAGCCTGCAGGGGAGCGTGGCCGTACTGACACCTTGATGCCAGACCTCTGGCCTCTAGAACTATGACAGGATACATTTCTATTGTGTTAAGCCCTCCAGTTTGTGGTATTTTGTTATAGCAGCCACGGGAAACTCATACAACTTGGACAACATCCTGTTCTTTCTCCTGCAATCTGACCCGCAGGACCGCGCAGGCCAGAAAGCCCACCGTGAGCGCCACACCCTTCCTGTCCCGCCTCACTTCTACCGAAGGGCGGGAGGTGGAGGAACGAGGGTGCTGGGCCGTGGATGGGGCGAGACCCGCGAGGCTGGGCTCAGGATCTGCCCTGGCGCTTTGAGCAGGTGGCATTAGGTCATGGGAGAAGGGACAAGAGGCCACAGATGTCTAGTGCTCTGTGGGCTCCATGGACAAAGCTGTTTGTGGGTGAGTGATGCCCACAGAGGTGGGAAGGAACCAAGGGGCACCATTCCAGCTCAAGAGACACGCCCTCTGGACAGGGGCTTCTCCCGCCCACTGTACAGACCAGGGGCAGAAGCAGAGCCAGAGACCAGAACTCGAGCTGAGCCCTCTTCCCTCCGATGCTGCTGGGTGACTGGAAAGGCCACCTGTGCTGGACCCACATCCCCTTCCAAGGTGACCTGCTCCACCTGGCCCTGGGCAGAGGGCAGCTGTGCCAGGTGGCACCACACTGGGCTACCGTCTGAGGCCAGTCAGAGAGGGGATGGGGCTAAGCATAACCAACAGGGCCTGGGCAATCAGGCAGTAGGACTGGCCACAGGATGGAGGTCCGGCGTGTGGCAGCTGGGGCACACGGACAGCCGGAGGGCTAGGCTGAGCCATGGAAGTCCTGAGCCAGGGTGACACCGTGACAAGGGTCAGGTCAGGTCTGAGCGTCCTTCAGCTGCCACACCAGGTCCCAGCCCCGGGGGCCCAGCCCTGAGCAACTCCAGGACTGTTACTTGTCACACGGAGGACGCCTCCTGTCCCCTAAGGAGCTCCCACTACGGGGAGGCGAGGATGAATTATTCTCAGTTTCCTGTGGTCACAAACTCCTCTGCCCTGACTCCCCAAATCAAATGGGATGAGACACCCTGAAATCCAAAGGAGCTGCCACGTCAGCAGGACATAAAGGTGACCTGGTCCCTGTAGGACACAGGCCAACAGGGCTCTGAGCTGTCAGGCTACTCCCAAGCCCACCCGAGGCCGCCAGCCCTGCCAGACTCTGATGGACTGAGTGCGAAGATCCGGGATCCCTTCACCTCCTGCCCCTGGACGACCCTTTAACACAGCCCCCTCCCCTCTGCTAAGCAGGCTGCACTCAGCGTTTGAAAACAGGGAGAGACTTCCAAACCGTCAGGTGACTCTTTGTAAGAAGCTGGCGCACGGGCAGGGCTGCCCTTGGGTGCGTTAGTCCCCATGAAATCCTGCCAGGCCCTCCTGGAACCTCCGCAGCACTTAGCCGTGTGGTGGCTGGGGGTGCGGCCACGGTATCACCATGCGGTCTCCAGGGTGCGAACTCGGGGCGGGAAGAGAATCCAGCAGAGCAGGCTGGTCCCTGGGAGCAGAGCCCTCCACAGCCCACCCAGTAAGTGCTCAATGTGTGAGCATCTCTGCCCTAAACATGAGCATCTGCTGTGACTACGGTTCCGGGAGAGGGTCCTACTGTACGAAAAACCCACTTTCGAGGGGGCGTAATGAAGACTGGGGTCTTTGCTCACAAATTTCGGCTCCACAGGGGCACGTGGGGATGGACCCCTTGTTTGGCAGGACACGGGACTGAGCCCAGGACAGCTGGGGGCCTTTCTCCCTGACCCATCGCTCTGCACAATGGGGACGTCCGCCCAGGAGTGACCTCTGGGGCACCAGGACACTTGTCCCCTGTAAGCCAAGAGCCTTTTCTTTTTATTTGTTCCTGTTCTTAAAACACTAGAGCTAACTTCTTTCAATCTGGTAAGTTAATCCTAACACTGATCTGGCGGCTTATGCCCCTGGATGCGCACTCAGCCTCCAGCCCTCAGGCCACCAGCGCTCTTTTTTGAGCAGAAAGCGCTGCGGTTGAAGAGCAAATCCCACCAGGAGCAGGGCTGCCTCCAACAGCCAGAGCTGGATCTGGCGCCCCAGCTGTGCTTTTGGGAAAGCGAAGACCAGAGGCTCCCTGCCTTCGCCCATTCAGAGCACCCCGCCCGCTGTTCACCCAGCACCCAGCGCAGACCTTACCTGTTGCTTCTGGCTGCCAGTTCCTCCCTCATCTTTTTGATGTCACTCTTGCATTTCTCAATCTCCACCACTTTCAGTCCTTCCACTGGTGACAAAGAGAAACAAGGGGGTTACCATGGATACACAGAGAGGCTCTCGCAAGGCTGCTCAGTGGGGGCCGCCGCCTGACTCAGCGCAGTGGTTCCCACTCCTGCTCAGGCTGCCGCTGTTCAGGTCGGTCCCGCCGCCTACACTCGGCTCAGCCACAACTGACTCTAAGACTGTAGGCCTATCCCGTGGCCAAGTGTGGGCTGTCCCCTTCATCTGTGGGTTTCTATAGGATGAAGTCCTTCTCCCTGCTCCCTGAATCTTGACTTTTCTTGCACCTACTTCTAGTTTCTCTCTCCAGACCCCTAAGCATGAGTTGAGGACATAGGACAAAGAAGTCTCTTATCCAAAAGAAAAGAAAGTGGGGGGTGGGGGGTACTGCCCCAGGGCATTAAAATGCAATGGGGCTCAATGGGCAAGACCACAGCCTTCCCAGCAAGGGTTCACATTTCATTAAGGTTAAAGCTTTGCACTTAAGGTCCACCCTGGAGCAGTTCACCAGGAGGACCGGAAACCGGTGAGAAATTCACAGGCAGTGTTCAGGATGGGCAGGCCTGGGCTGGACAGCATTGCTGGAGTCCCCTGGCAGAGGTGAGCCCGAAAAGCCAGGATGCAGTTTTCATCTAAGAGTGAGCTGGGGCAGCCAGCCCGCGTGGCTCAGTGGTTGAGTGTTGACCTATGAACCAGGAGGTCAAGGCACATGCGCAGGTTGCGGGCTCAATCCCTGGTGGGGGCCGTGCAGGAGGCAGCCGATCAGTGATTCTCTCTCATCATTGATGTTTCTTTCTCTCTCTCTCTCTCTCTCTCTTCTCTCTCTCTCTCTCTCTCTCTCTCTCTCTCTCTTTGTCTCTGAAATAAAAAAGTGAACCGGGCCTTAGGCCTCCAAGCCCGCGTTCAACATCCAGCCTTTCACAGCGAGCCCAGAGGCAGGCGGCTTTGAAGAGGCTTTTAGATTAGAGTCGGTTACAAGAAATGAAAAGACTTTGTAATCACACCTCAATTTTTATGCAAAACAACGTGGCCACAGACACTCTATTCCCCTTTTCATCAAGAGCAGCTCTGAATGTGGCTAAAAGTCAAGCGCTGTGATTTCCGAGGAAAACAAAGGCGCTCCGCCTTCGCAGTCCCTCCCACCCCCAGGAAGTGCTGGGCTCTAGAGCACGCGTTGGGGGGCCTCTCCAAGGGCGGCGCCAGGGCAGCCGGGCTGGGACCATCACCTCCCTGGGCAGGCTTTCCAAACATGCCCAGGCTCAGGGGCCAGATGGGGGCAAGGCTGTGTGAAAACACTGCTGCTTTCTGCCCAACGTGACCGGAATCTGGAGGATCTGATACTCAAATCTGATCCTGGTGCCTTGCTTCTGGGCCACGCCTGGGACTCTCTCCCGCCTCAACCAGGACATGGGACCGAAGTCGGGGGCCTTAAATGCCAGTGGTTGGAACCAGCGAGGTGGCTGGCCGAGGCCAGATGCGCTGCCGTGGGGCAAGTAGGAACCTGGCGTGGGGTGTGTTTCTGCTCACTCACTAAGCGCACACACCCTTCCGCGTGGCGCGGGGTGTTCTTAGCTCTTCCTTGCATCACAGGGCCGGTTAGGAAGTCAGTGAAAGCCACGGGACCTCTTCCAAGAAAAGACACATCAGTACACGCCCTCATGGTTTGCACTTGGACAGGGGCGCTGTGGGGAGGCGATGAGCCTGCGTGTAGAGCCCGCGGGGGAGCTGCGCCCGGCCAGCCAGGGACCATGGTTACACTCATTATGCTTTAACCATCGTTTTATACAAAATAACAGGTGGTAATTGTGGAAACCAGGAAATACGGAGCATCTCAAAAAATATTTTAAAATCTATCTACGGTCTTCCTGGGGCAAAAAACCCCCCATTTCATATTAAACATATTCGCATGTACCCTCCCATGCATGTCTCCCCCTTCCCCTCAGCCCCCTTGCATTCTAACTATCTATCTACTCTTCTTTTTAAAAAGACAAACTTAGGACCATGCTACGTGTTCTGTTTTCTCACTTGCTTTTCTCCCATCGTCAACAGCAGCCGCCTCCCAGCATCCATATGGGAGTGGACGCAGATCAGAGTCTCTGGCCATGGATTGGGGGGTGATGTTAAAGTTAAGCCTTTTGGGCCACACAGTATAATATCACTCCTTTGAATCCCACCGATTCATGGCAATTACCTTTACGAAGAAAGAGCCTGGTTGCCACGGAAATTGATAGTGAGTCACAAGATGGCAAAAGTCATGCATTAACCAATGGAAGAGAACAACATCATCTCAGCCCCCCCGCCCCCTATGTTCGGATTAAAGAGCTGAACGTGGGCTGAGACGGTCACAGAGCGCCAGGCAGGCCAGGCACCAGCAGACCGGGGGCCCGACTCCCAGTCCTTCCCCAGATACCAGGCGGCCTTTGGAAGATTGCACAGCCCGCCTCCTGGACCCCTCCCAGCCCTGCCTGCCCGGCCTGAGGAGGGAGAAGGCCCCTCGAGGAGCTGGGGCCTCCCCGTGAAGAGTCCTACACAGACTCAGGGGAGATTCCAGTTGAGATTGCACAGCAGTTACATACATGTGGCCCCACTTGTCCATCTCGAACTTTAAACACAGGTGGGCACAGGCCAGAAACTCAAACGAAACCAGAGGTGCCCAGCCCCCCCCAGCACTCGGCTCATTCTCCCTCACCAGGCCCGGCCGGGCAGGCGGATTCATAGGGTGAGCACACCTGGACCCCTGGCGGTCCTCATGCGGACTGTAGATGTGCTCCGTTGGGAGGTCACAGGCCACTGTGAGAGAGAACCTTTAAGGATGATTTTCTAAGAGGGACCCTGGCTGTGGGGACTCAGCAGGCAGGAGCAGAATGGGACCCGGAGGCAGCTCTGCTCCACGCTGGCCCCTCCCAGAGCTTGTGGAAGAAGCCCGTGTGTGTGTGTGTGTGTGTGTGTGTGTGTGTGTGTGTGTGTCCCTTCAGCTGCAGAGCTGGTTAAAGCTGTTTAAAGCCATGTGAGCCGTTTCAACACTTCCTCCAAGGACTTTGGCAAAGAATTCACATAAAGCACATTTCCCGACTGACAAGGAGAAAAGCAAGGTTGGTTTCAGCTGCGAGTCTCCTCGATTGTTTGCATGACCCTCGGGGCCGGCTCTCCCTGTGGTCAGGTTTTAGTCCAGGCCCTGGGCACAGGCTGCCCTGTGCCCATCCTCAGGGACCCTGGCGCAGGGATCCCCCTGCACAGTGGCCGGTGGCCAGTAAACAAGGAAGGAAGTGAAACCCTTGCAATGCTTCATCGCTGACCAGGAAGTGAGCGAGGACCTGGGTGTCCTTTGTTTACAAAATAATCTCTAAGTGGAGAGGGACCCCAGACTCCTTGAGGAAGGCAAACATTTCACATGAAAAGGAAGAAAAGCTCTTAAAGCGAATTAAGGAAATGGGGAAATTTACATTTGATTCAGAAGAATGATATGTTTGGAAGGTGAAAAAAAAAAAAAAGCAGGAAATTCCATTGAAAACAAGTCAAACAATGTAATGTTGCCTACAGATGGCCGGTGCTGGCTGGCCGCCTGCTCGAGCTCCAGAAGCAGAAAACAGCTCACAATGACCAGAGAAAGTGTGTGTGCACGTGACCACGGTGCGTGGATGGGTGTGTGTCTGTGCATGTTTATATGTGTCTCTGTGTTTACAAGTATGTGCATGCGGGTGGGGGGTTATGCATGTGAGTGCATGTGGGTATGTCTCAGTGTCTTTATATGTGCATGTGTGTACGTGTGTGTGTGTGTGCATGTGTGTGTGAGTCTATACCTGGCCTGGGCCCAGTGGAGCAGTGGCAGTCAGTTCCTAGCAGCCTTCCCAGTCCAGCGGCCCAGGCCAGCTTGTCTGGCAGATGGCTGGGTCAGGATTGCCCTTCTGAGTAGCGGGATGACCTTTTCCCCAAGTGATCTGCACGAGAGGTCCAGCTGCAGGACCCCTCTCCTCAAAGACTTACCCTTCCCCTTCCAGGGTACCTGCCCCGTCCTTGGGGTGAGACACTGCTGTCTCCGGAGGCTCTGTGGAACGCATACCCCCTGGGGATTGGCGCAGGCACGACGTCCCTGCCACTCTGTGCTGGTGCAGAGGCTGCTGGAGGCTGGGAAGGTGGCAGCCAGAAGCACCAGGAGAGGTCCAGCCCAAAGCCAGGTGAAGTTCAAGGAGGTCGAGAGCCCTTCTGAGTCGTGGCCACATTCCTGATGGGAGGCGGGCAGCCAGAAGATGGGGAAGCCGGGGGCTGGTGGGAGCAGAGGCTCCCAAATGTGGCTGTGGGGGCCCACTGCCAAACCCACAATTCTTAGACCATTTCCCATCTCCCTCCCTACTCCTGAGAGGGCGGCTTCCTCCATCCCATTCCTGCACCCTGGGTCTTGGTGCTAGAAATTAGCACAGCCAGTAAGAACACCAGTAATTTCGACCTAGGCAGTGAGCCTGAGCTTGGAGGGCGGAGGCGTGATGCCTCTTACAGGCCATCATGTGAATTTGCAGGGTTTCTGTGGTTTATCCAAGGGCCCTGCAGGGAGATGCCTTCCTGCCAACGAGCAAGCCGGTTCTGGAGAATTCTGGGCCTCAGACAGGCCAGGGAAGAAGGTCCTATGGGCTGCGTCCTTTAATGGTCCTTCATTCACATGGCACGTGAAGGCAAAATAAAAACTCTTCTTGGCCTGATCGTCGTCTCATCGGCCAGACACCGGAAGCCACCCAAGTTGAGGTCAACATAGATCTCTGCAGGGGTTTTCAAAATTCCTTCATGGCCTCTTCGACTTGCCTGTTTGCAAGTGGTGGTGGGCGGTGGGCGCTGGAGCTGGCTTCCGTGTGGGGAGGGGGAGATGGGCGAGGGCAGGAGGAAGTGGGAGGAGCTGGAGGGCAGGAGGCCGAGCAGGCGGCACCGCTGCCCAGGACATTGGCAGGCCCGCCCGGTGGTGACCAACTTTCCCCTCCGTCAATGTAGACGGGGACTCAGCAGTGAACGTTCATTTTCTGTGTTCTTTGGCTGAACACCTTCCCATGTTTGGAAATGCCAAATGCTCACTGCAGTGGCTCACATCCCAAAGATGTGTTCACATCCTAAATCCTGGGACATGTGAATGGGACCTTATTTAGAAAAAAGGTTCTTGGCAGAGTCCTCCAGGTGAGGTCATCTTGGATTAGGGTGGGTCTTAAATCCAAAGACAGGTGTCTGTGTAAGAGACAGGCAGAGGGGACGTGAGCCACAGAGACACAGGGGGGAGAGGCCCTGTGAAGATAGTTTGGAGTGATGTGGCCACAAACCAAGGCTGGCTGGCAGCCACCGGAAGCCAGAAGAGGCCTGGAACAGATTCTTCCTCAGCCTCTAGGAGGAACCGACCCTGAAGACGCCTTGGTTTTGGACTCTGGCCTCCGGAACTGTGGGAGGATTCTCTTTTTGTGGTTTAGGCCTCCCAGTTTGTGGTACTTTGTCACGGCAGCCACAGGAGACGAATGCACGTTGTCTGGCCTCTCTTGCAGCAAGGGTGTGGGCACACGGTCCCCCTCTGTCCAGAATTTGAACCTGTAGCCGGTACTTGGAGAGGCAGCCTGATGTCTGCAGCAGTGCCCATGGGGCAGGTACCATACTTATGCGGTTCTGACGCGCAGCTCAGCATCCTCACGGAGTCAGCTATGCTGGGATTCCGGGCACCCTTCTTGCTGCAGAGCCCAGCCCTATTCCTGGGCCCTCCTGGTGACCATGGGAGCTCCCCAAAATCCTTTTATCCTTTTGAAAAAGCCCATTTTCTCCTGGCTGGTGTGGATCAGTGGTTACAGCGTTGGCCCAAAGACTGCAGGATCTCGGGTTTGATCCTTGGGTCAAGGGCATGAACCTGGATTGCAGGTTCAATCCCCGGCCTGGTCAGGGCACGGTGCATGCAGGAGGCAACCAATCGATATGTCTCTCTCACATCAATGTTTCTCTCTCTCTGCTCCCCTCCCTCCCTTCCACTTTCTCTAAAAATATCTTCATATGAGAATTTGAAAGAAAAGAACCCCTTTTCTGTTCAACGCAGCCACAACCGGTGGCTGCCGGCAGCCTGCTTCCTAACCTAAGTTCTCAGGCCCCCTTGTGGGCGCCCAGCCAGGAGTGGAGGAAGGTGACATGTCACAGAAGGGCAGGCGGCAGGCGGCGAGAGCAGCCCCGCCAGGAGCCTGGTGCTGGTCCCAGGCTTATTTACTTTTCTAATTTGCTGAGCGCATTTGAGCAAATCACTTATCTCTTTGTGGCTCTTCAATGGGGAAAAATAAAACTGCTCTGAAGCTCCCACGGTGAAAAGGATTTCAAAAGTGTCATCGCCCTTTGAGAAGTATGACTGTGCAAATCACGTTTCACGTGACTCTGGCGAATTGGCTTTTACATGCTCCTCAATTTCCTTTCCCCAAAACACCCAAGCAATTCTCGCAAGGTAATGAAAGGTGCCATCCAGCCGAGACCCGCCAGTATGAATCAGCCGGGCGGTGTCCGGGACGCCGCAACCCCGCTGGCTTCAGGTCGGGGTTTGCTTAGTCATCCTCGAGGCGAACAGATAAGGTGCCTTGAATCCCTGCCCTTTGCCTTGACATTGACCAAGAGCCTTCCTTCGAGTTGGGAGTTGGATGGGGCGCGTGGGGCTCCAGCACAGCTCCTTACTCACCGAGGAGGACACACAGGCCGCGCGACTTGAGGCTGCTTTCCTCCAGAATTCTAGCCCTGTGGCCACCGGCTCAAGACGGGCACCACCCTCCTTGCTCACCAGCAGGGTTCCTGCTTTCCTTGCGGTGACAGGGAACCGAGAGCTAACGGCAGTGGACACATGCCCCCAAACTGTGACACCACGGAGTGTGGGTCTGCGTGACCTCATTTACTTGAAGGAGACCCACAAGGTATTCACAGAAGCTCCTGTCCAGAGAGGCGTGCTCGAGGCTTCCTGATCTCACCCTGTGCTCTGCGGGCACGGCAACACGTGACCGTGTACTCGTTACTTTTATTTATTTAATTTTATTTTAAAAAATATATTCTATTGATTTTTTTTACAGAGAGGAAGGGAGAGGGATAGAGAGTCAGAAACATCGATGAGAGAGAAAAACCGGTTTGGCTCAGTGGATAGAGCATCGGCCTGCAGACTGAAGGGTCCCAGGTTCGATTCCAGTCAAGGGCATGTACCTTGGTTGCGGGCACATCCCCAGTAGGGGGTGTGCAGGAGGCAGCTGATCGATGTTTCTCTCTCATCGATGTTTCTAACTCTCTATCCCTCTCCCTTCCTCTCTGTAAAAAAATCAATAAAATTACTTTAAAAAAAGAAACATCGATCAGCTGCCTCCTGCACACTCCCCACTGGGGATGTGCCCGCAACCTAGGTACATGCCCTTGACCAGAATCAAACCTGGGACCCTTCAGTCCGCAGGCCGACGCTCTATCCACTGAGCCAAACTGGTTAGGGCTGTACTTGTTACTTTTAAAACTCGCGGGTTAGTCACTGCTCTAACCTTTGCTAACATGACATTTAGGCATTTCACAGAGAAAAGGCCCCACGCTTCCCTGGACCTCCCTCCCCTGGTTTATGAGGTTAAGTTAAACAGAGGTCAAAGGACACATAAGCGAAAGGAAAACCGAAGCTGCACTCACATTCCACGCGTTTCTCTAGCACTGCCAAGTGATTTGCGACTTCAGCTTTGAGTTCGTTGATTTTAAATGCTCTAGGAATGAAAAAAAAAAAGCCATAAGCCATACGTTTCTCAGAGTTAAAATGGGCTCAGCAAACAGCTGCTGGATCACGGGCAGGGGGAGGTGTGCGAGTGGGCAGGTGAGGGGGGCGCACAAAGATGCCAGGAGTTGCTTTTAAGGAAGTAGCACTGTCGGTGGTGCAGGGGAGGAAAGAGAGACGCTCTCAGGCTCTCTGGAGGTGTATTTCCCAAGTGGGACCACAGCAGCTCCCTGCCAGTGGGGATGTTTCCTTCCATGCCTGGGAGTGCGCCCGTGCCCCGAGGGGCGCTCTGCTCTCAGCTGGATGCCCCCCCTCCCCCGGGCACACACCACCTCAGGGCACTGGGTGCCCTCTCCACGCTCCAACCCAGTCAATAAGACAATTCTTGGGCTTCAAGAAAGTACCACCCAGCCCAGCCAGAGTGGCTGAGTGGTTGAGCGTCGATCTATGAACCAGGAGGTCACTGGTTCGATTCCCGGTCTGGTCGGGGCACAGGCCCAGGTTTCGGGCTCGATCCCCAGTAGGGGGCGTGCAGGAGGCAGCAGATTGATGATTCTCATTATTGATGTTTCTCTCTCTCCCTCTCTGAAATCAATAAAAATATATTTAAAAAAAAAGAGAGTACCACCCATATGGCCTCTCCCCATTTGAACTCCCCTGGGCGGTGAGATACCACAGTGACCAGAACGGGAGGACAGCCCAGAATGAAACGGTCAGTAATATTTTTATTACTGATTTCAGAAAGGAAGGGAGAGGGACAGAGAGAGAGAAACATCAATGATGAGAGAGAATCATTGATCAGCTGCCTCCTGCACGCCCCCTACTGGGGATTGAGCCCACAACCTGGGCATGTGCCCTTGACCAGAATCCAACCTGGGACCCTTCAGTCCACAGGCTGATGCTCTATCCACTGAGCCAACCAGCTAGGGCAGAAGGCCCATGTTAAAAATGGTCTCAGTGCTTGTAGCCGGAACTCCGAGTCCCAGCAGAGCCTGTCGAGAAAAATCTCGGCAATACGGGCTCTCACTCTAACAGCGCCCACCTCACACGGTCTGGGACATAAGGTCTTTGCTGTAAGTGCTTCCTGGACCCCACCCCATGGGCTGAGTACAGAAGTCGCTGCTCTGCGAAGGCAGCTCCTCCAGGCAGGAGTCTGCGGCCGAGCTGGGCTCCCCCCGCCACCGAGAGAACAGGCACACGGCTCCGGAGGACACGGCTCTGAAGTCTGTACCTCGAGAACTGCTCTGCAACCTGGGTCAGCACGCTCTGGATTAACTCTTCTTTCTCTGCAGAGCGAAAAAGAAAGACAGATGGCAAAAGGAAAGAGGTGCGGGTCCGCCCGGCCTGACCCACCTGCTGTGGGCACGTGGCACCGATGCCGCGGCGAGGAGCTGTCCGCCTTACCTGGATGGAAGCTCCGACACTCCGGCAGCACCCCAGGACCGCTCTGTCCACCTCCAAATGCTCTTTCCCCCTGGCCTGCTCCAGGCCACTAACCTGCCTTTTAATGCCTCTCAGCAGAGGGGCCCTCCCATCCCAGGAACCGGCTATAAAAGCAGGCGGGACTGGGTCTCTAACTAGGGGATGTTTTCACAGAGTTCCCTGGTTCATTTTATGAGGGCAATTACCATGACAGAGCGGGTTCAAGGCATATTTCCAGTGCAAAACACGGTGTTCTCTTCTCGGGGCAGGTCCCGAGAGAGCGGAAGCAGGCGAAACCTGTCCCTTTGTTGCCTGGCACGCAAAACAGGCTGGGCGGCTGGATTACAGGGCACAGACCCAGGCTGAACTTGACCTGCCTGGTTTCCTGTTTCCTGCCTGGCCCATGCTGGGTACCTCTCGGGAAGGTGTAGATGCCCACAGACCTGTCTCTCTCAGCAGTCTATGCTCGTGGACGGGGAGCGATCGCTTCTTGGCTGCAGGGTCCCATCAGTTCATGCCCCTAAACACTCAGAACCTACGCGAGGCTTAGTGAGACTCTGCGCCTAACCCTTCACTAAAATCAAAAGAATCCTGCCAAGCAAACAAAAAATCCCAATAATCGCCAGGCCGGAGTGGCTCAGTGGTTGAGCTCCAACTTATGAACCAGGAGGTCACGGTTCGATTCCCGGTCAGGGCACATGCCTGGGTTGTGGGCTTGATTCCCGGTAGGGGGCATGTAGAAGGCAGCTGATCCATGATTCTCTCTCATCCTGGATGTTTCTCTCTCTCCCTCTCTCCCCCTTCCGCTCTTAAAAAACAAAACAAAACCCAATAACCCAATTGGGCCATGGGGTTCTGAAGCTGGAAATGCTCAGATGCTCTGACCTAGTGTCTCCATTTCTAGGAAATACTCATGTCTGTGCACAGAGCTGGCCGCCAGTGCTATTTCACATGGTGAAAGCTGTAACCGCCTATATGTCTATCGAATGGACATTAAATAAATGATGACACATCCATACTCTGGGATCCTATTCTGTTATTAGAAATAATGTCTTGGAAAATGTTCATGTCTATTGTTAAAGCAAAAAAAAAAAAAAAAGGATTGTAAAACAGTATGATCCCATATTTGGAGACATTGGGAGGATACAGTTTGAAATAATAATGGTAGTTATTTTTTGATTGTAAGACTTTATGTAAATTTTATTTTCTTATTTTTGCTTCTCTGTATCTTATACATATAGGTAATACGCATGTTTATTTCATTTAAAAAATTAAAAAAAACTAATCAATCTAAATTAACCTAATGAAAGGGTAGACCAAGAGACCAAAGGTTCCCTCTGGCATAAGTATTCTATGTCTTGATGCGAAGAAGAAAAATGACGTTTTGTTATGTTTCTGGAAACTATAAGAGTGAAAATGTCAACCAGGAAACTTTCATAGAGCTGTGTGTTGAGCTGCTGCCCAATCCAAGGCCCTACACTTCTGGGGGGCTCACACCCACCAGGGGACAAAATTGGCGACTCCATCGATGGGAACCACCAGTGCGAAGGCTTCACAGGCCTCCTTGGTGAATCAGCAGGACTGCCGATCACTTATCCTGAAATCTTTGGCAAAAGTAATATATCACTCATGTAACCTCCAAGAGTTAATGATCTCAAAGTCTTGAGATAAATTTAGAAGGCCATCAAACAATTGACATTTATAGACGGCTCCACCTAACAGTAGTGGGACATGCGTTCTTTTCAGGTGCCTTCCAAGATAGACCACATCCTGGACCGTAAGGAAAACCTCAACAAACGTAAAAGAACTAATACCATAGAGCGTATGTTCTCTGGCCACAAGAGAATCAAGGTAGAAACCAGGAACAGAAATATAGCAGGGAAGCCTCCAAACACTTGGAAACCAAACAGCACACATCTAAGCAGCCCATGGACCAAAGAGGAAGTCTCTGGAGAAATTTAAAAAGGCATCAAACCAAATGAAAATGAAAATATAGCACAGCGAAAGGTAGCTGTGAGACATAGCAAGGGCAATGCGGAGAGGACATTTATAGCACCCAGTGCTTACATTAGAAGAGAGGAAAAGTCTCCACTCCATAATCTAAGAGCCCAAAAAAAGCAAAGCAAAATAAATCCACAACAATAGCAGAAGGAAGGAAGGAAATAATAAAGTGCAGAAATCGATTAGATGGAAACCGGAAAAACAGTGTAGAACATCAATGAAAGGAAGAGCTGGTTATTTAAAAATATCAGTAAATTGACCAACTTTGAGGAAGACGGACAGAGACACAGAGAGAAGACATAGATCACCAAAATCAGAACGAGAAAGGGAAGATCACTCCAGACCCTCCAGGCATCAGAAGGATTATGAGGGAACACTACGAACAACTTCATACACACACATTTGACACCTCAGGTGGCAATGGACCAATTCCTAGAAAAGCATGAACCACCACACTCATCTAACATGAAACAGGTAATCTGAACAGCTAGTTACTATTGAGGAAATTAAATTTCTAATTGAAACCCCCCAAGAAATTATCAGGTACAGATGGTTTCACTAGAGAACTTTACCAAACATTTGAAGAAGAAGAATTAAGACAAATCTAAACAACTTCTTCCAGAAAACAGAAAAGGAGGGAACACGTCCGGATTCATTTTATGAAGCTAGTATTAACTTGATACCAAATCCAGACAAAGATAACCAAAAAAGATAATACAGACCAATATCCCTCATGAATACCAATGTAAAAGCCCTTTAACTAGCAAATAGAATTCAGCAATATATAAAAATAATTATACATCGAGATCAAGCAGAGTTTATTTCAGGGATGCAAGGCTGGTTTAATATTAAAAAAATCAATGTAATCAACTATATTAACAGGCTAAAGAAGAAAAAATTATACGATCCTATCAATTCATAAAAAGCACTTGAAGAAATTCAACATCTATTCATGATAAAACCCTCAGGAAAACAGAAAAAGAGGGGAACTTCTTCAAGTTGATAAAAAAAATCTGCAAGAAACCTATAGCTAACACTATACTTAATGGCGAAAGACCGAATGCTTTTTCCTGAGGTTGTGACAAAGCAAGGATGTCTCTCACTGCTCTCACTCAGCACAGTGCTGGCAGTGCCAGCTGGCGCAACAAGGCAAGACAAGGAAGTAAAAGGCATGCATATCAGAGAGGAAGAAATATAACCGTCCCTGTTTGCTGATGACACAATTGTCTATATAGAAAATTCCACGGGATCTATAAAAAACCCTCTTAGGACTAATAAGTGAGTTCAGCAAGGTCACAGGATACAAGATATACACACGCAATCAGTTGTATTTACATATATGACCAATGACCACATACACACTGAAATGAAACCATAAGGCCACTTACGAACACTTCAAGAACCTTAGGTGCAAGTATAACAAAGCATATGCAGAAGACGTATGCTGGAAACCACAAAATATCCAGGAAAGAAATCATAGAAGATATAAATAAATGAGACCTACCTGGAAGCTTCAACATAGTAAAGATGTCAATTCTCCCCAAATTGACAGACAGGTTTAACACAATGTCTATCAAAACCTCAGCAGGATTTTATTTTTGTAGAAATAGACAAGATTTTCTAACATTTATATGGAAATAAAAAGGAACTAGAATAGCTAAAACAATTTAGAAAAAGGAGATAAAACGAGAGGAATTGCCAATCTAATTTTAGGACCTAATATACAGCTACAATAATCAAGACGGTGTAATACGTATTGGGAAAGATACTGAGGGACACAGGCACAGAGGTCAATGGAACAGAACAGATAACCCAGAATCATATCCACACCAATATGCACAATTGATTTTGATCGGTGTCACAATGGAAGGGACTTGGGTGTGGCTCTAAGAGGGGAGTGTGAGGGACCCTGTGGGTTGGGACATACTGTGTCTGGACTGTGTCAGTGTCAACAGCCCGATTGTGGTATCTCACTGTAGCTTGCAAAGATGTGATCATTGTGGGAAAACAGTAAAGGTTACATGGGCTGTGTTCGTATTTTTTCTTACTGTGTGCATCTTTAATTATGCTAAAACGAGAGGCATGGGGCACGAATTCATGCACCAGTAGGGTCCCTTGGCCTGGCCTGCGGGATCAGGCTGAAACTGGCTCTTTGACATCCCCCGAGGGGTCCCAGATTGCGAGAGGGTGCAGGCCAGGCTGAAGGACCCCACTAGTATATGATCAGGGCCGGGGAGAGACGCCGGAGGTTGGCCAGCTGGGGAGGGACCGTTGAAGTGCTCCAGGGCGTGTCCAGCCCTTCTCGCTCAGTCCCTATCGGCTGGACCCCAGCAGCAAGCTAACCTACCGGTCAGAGCGTCTGCCCCCTGGTGGTCAGTGCACGTCATAGCGACTGGTCGACCGGTTGACTGTCCCGTGATGGTCAGTTCACATCATAGCGAGCGGTTGAGCAGCTTTAGCATATCATTAGCATATTACACTTTGACTGGTTGAACAGCCAACAAGATGACCGGACACTTAGCATATTAGGCTTTTATTATATAGGATAAAAAGTTTAATGGAGGAAAGAGTCTTTTCAACAGGCGGTGCTGAAGCAATTGAACACTCACCGGCAGAAAAATGAGCCTCGATCTAACCCTCAACACAGTTTATCTAAAAATTAATGCAAAATGGACCACAGATAAAAAATATAAAACTTGAACATTTTAGAAAAAAAATAGGAGAAAATCTTCAGGATCTTGGGCTATGCAGGGAATTCTTAGATTTGACGCCAAAACCACAGTCCATACAAGGAAAAATTGATAAACTGGATTTCATCAACATGGAAACTTTTGTTCTGAGAAAGATCATGTTAAGACGGTGA